CACCAAAAGTGAGTACTAAAGGTGTCATTCGAGTTTTCTGTCAATGTATTCAACGGTGTTGGCAAAAGCATTTCTAATCAGCGAACTTACAAATAATGCTCCATACATAAGAGTTGCTTGAGTCCCGTTGTTGAGAGTTACTCCCCAATCGCCACTAGGAAGATATTCGATAGGCACACTAGTGTTTCGGTTGTTGAATGCATCCGAGTTGCCAATTATAACACCTATAATGAAAACAGAGTCAACTGCTTGTTAAGTCGTGGAACCAAACGAATCGCGTTAGAAGATGCACTGCGCGATTGTTATCTCCTGATTCCAGACCAAATAAATTTGGTACGGTATTTGGGAAGAGAATTCGTTGAGCTAATTATTTTTTTCCAGTGGCTATAAATTTTTTTAAGTGGTTAATATAAAATAACAAAGCAAGTGTTATTAATTGCCTGATAGGAAGAATTGCTACTAATCCGGAGATCGTGCTTATTCAACTAGAACATTGCGGGAGGAATCTTTTGTTGCTCAAGGAGAGAAAAACTATCCAATTTCACTTGTAAGGACTTTTTATCAACGCCTTAGTGCCTCCAAATGATCCATATGCAGCCTATTATAACTTAACATGGCCATTCTTCATACCTTGAAGGATCCATATTTACTCCTCTGGTTAAAAGCACTCTATATTCTAGTTAGCCTGCTAGAAGTGAGATGTTGACGCCTATATTCAAGCATGCATTCTTTCCCGAAATGGTAACTGTTGAAACCTTTGACGTACCAAGACGATCGTAGGCGGCGAATTCATTCAGGAAAGTCTTGATACCGATTAATTCAGCCACCTTTAATGCGTCGTCTGTGGGAACGCCCATTGTGTACGAAATAGGCCACAGAATGTACGAAAATACAACCTAGTTGGAACAGCAAAAGGCACGCATATAGTAAAATTTAAAGATCATTTACTTTGTTACGCAGGTCCTAGAAGACACAATTTCCGTTTATGGAAAATTCCACAGTACATTGCAATTTGGTTTGATGCCAGGTCTAGAAGATAGCGCTTCAAATCGTGCTACTTCAAGAGACAGATGAGCAAAGTTCTAATGTTTAACTTCGGGGTGTCATTATTCACTAAGGTATTTTAAGACTCAAAATTACATCACTTCTGGTGATTCTATTAAAAACATTAATATCTTGGGTGCAGATTTAGTAAATACAAACTTGGTAAAACCAAAATTATTACGTTTAATGAAGTGTGTAAGATAGAAAACCTTACCTCGAACGTTAAATCGAACCCCAGGCAAGCACGTTTACCCATCCAAACAAGGGTTCGGTTGAGGAAGTTGTAGATACTGAGGAAGGCAATGAGATTTGCAACAACTCCTCCACAAATTGGGATCGCGTCCATAGCACCGACCATTGCGGCTTCAAGTACACTTTGGTAAGGACTAAAGTGAATTCATATTTGTGATGAAAGCACATTTTTGATAAAAGCATCTACTCGAATTTCACTAAACCACCTCAGAATGTCTTTGCTTAGAGATTAACTCAATATGAGTGGTAGGAATGTCAAATATCCCATTAATAAGCATGCGTTACACACATGCCCCGTCGGTGTTGTGAACACATTTTACTTGCTTTAGCACAAGTTTTGGATAAATGTGATGCAATTATTGCGAAAGAACTCTGCTGTTTATCCTTCTGAGCCTCTTCGAAAACAGAATAATTCAACTTTTGTGAAATCAAACTTGTTTTCGTTCGAAGTGGACTTGAAAACGAAGTTAATTAAGTCCTTCACCTAGGGTCTCTGGTAGTGCATCAATCATGAAAGAACCTGTTTACCCCAGTAAATGGTTAATTGACAAAAGGTCATTGTTTAGCATGAATTAGAAAAAAATCACCTCTTCATTTTGAGTGAAACCTTTGAACTTGTCATTGGTGAGATTTTTGTCTCAGGATACATAATCTTGGAGGTAGCCAATGCTGCGGGAGCAGAAATCACACAGGCGATCAACAAATGATTTGGTGGGATCTGGGATAAAAAGGCGCGAGTTACCACATGCTTCATGAGTTTAATAGTATCGCAGCCGACCTATGTTTAGCATTTTATCGACACTATTTCGCACTCAAACACTGTGTTATCTCATGTTTACGTATCTTATTAAAAATATCCTGAATACGCAAGTGCTTGTGATTTTGGTGATGCATCTTGTCTTTACTAAAGGGCTTCTTTGAACCCAGGGGATGGTCTTTGCATTGTCACATGACAGTTACCTCACATCCCACTATAACACTGCACGGAAGCTATGGCCTTAAAAAATGATTTTCACAACTTAACATAGTGCCTCAAACTCACACCAAATCCGATAAACGCAGCCATGACGGAGCCTGATACCGACGCGAATCCGTTTACGAATATTGCGTGCAACTCTGAGTTGGTCAGCATGGGGAGATATGGCCGCGTAATCAACGGAGCTTCTGTCTAAAAGGCGAGTGAAAACGTAAGTTCGCAGGTTTTCATGACAGATTAAAAAGCTAAGAGGCCACTTATTTCGTTTTTTGCCTTTTGGTTGCGTGATAATATTTTATTCTCTCGGCTTAATTCAACCAGAGTTGCCTGCCAAAAATGTCCAACTGACGGGAAATAAAACAACGTTCAACGACAAACGTGACTAGAGTGAAGGAATTCTACGGTGTTTCAAAGCCACTTTATAAGTCCAGGCACTTGTACAGTGCGAGGAGGTCATCTCTAGCATTTTATTACATTTTCATGAAATTATTTCACGAAATTACTTAGTTCAAACATTTATGCACCTTATTAGTTACGTTAGTTAAGGACATGACAAAATAACTTATAAGGCATATCACCGATTGCTTACCATTGAGACAAAGATATTTGCGATGGCGTTGAGAGTTTCTGGGCTCGTGGTTTTTAGCAACTTCGCCGCAGCAGCAGAGGGCTTGTCGATAACAAGTTGGACGATGCCCAAATGAAAATTGATTGCCATGAAGGAGGAGAAAAAGACGACAACTGGAAGAACCTAAAAGAGAGACCACCGTACTACTTTTTGTTCTCCCTTGCATCAAAGGCGTGTGAGTGCAAGAACCGACAGCTTACGTTGAATGCAAAACAGTTCAGGTTGCCGAACACAAAGGTGGCACCGGCATCACTATGTCTGAGGAACTCCGCCATCCTTTGACCAAGAAACTCAAAGGTAATATAACCCGGTCTCGTTTTCAGTGTCAAAAATGCAAGCAGAAGTTGTAAGAATAAGCAATTGAGAACCGGTTGCCAGTTGATCTGCAAAAAACAGGTAAGATTCGTAGTCATATTGATGAGTTAATTAAAAACATGCACTCCTGTAGTCCGGCAACATTTCAGCGACAACCATTTATAGTACATAGTATTAAACCATCTAGTGTTCGGAGCCCTTCACTAACGCTGATATACAAAGTAGCATCAGAGAAGGCCAAAACTACGAGCATTCAAGTGTTTCCTCCACAAATTAGGTGAATTCTATCCTCTACATGAATCCACTTCCTGGGTTGCAACATGAAATGTTTTGTGAACGAAAACAGGCTTGCGAATGCGCAAATTTCACGGGAATTCGTCTCTAGGAGTTATGAACTGCATGCCGGGGTTTCAGTGTCCCGTGTCAAAGCTTCCTTTCGAATGTAATGTGGTTCCATGTTTTAAACCCTTTCATGCTCAACGGTATTTCCAGCAGGTCTCAGGAGGTGACACTAAGTTAAAAACCTTAGCCGTACGTGATGTTTTATCCTCATGTGTGTTCCACTCTGTTCAGGTTTTAAATTGTCTGTTGATAAATGCTGGTGAAATGCAACATTCAAGAGCAAAGTGCGTCAACCCCTTCCCTTTACTGGATTTTCTAACACTGTTATAAGGATTAAACAAAACCCACTGTTCCAAGATTGAATTCGTAAATTTTGGGAGAACTTCAAAAGTTGCTTAAGATGTCTGCTTCAAAGACTCCCACCCAAACCGACAGTGTAGCCTACATGCCGATGAGGCTTGTTAAAACAGAAAAAAGCAGCTGCATGCTGCACTTGAGCTCACCTTGCCTGGAAACCTCGACAAGCAGATTGAGACAAGGACGAGAAGAGCGATGCCTGAGAGGGAAACCAAGTTCTCCACCTTTACTAATAGCACATAGTAGACTAAACAGAAGACTGTGAAGCCAAGCATGATGATCGCTGAAAATCTTCAAGGAAAAATGCGAAGGTATTTTGAGTTTTTTTTTTCAATTGGACGATGCTATATGAAGCGGTTTTGGGTATGGCTTTAATGTACATAAGGTGAGATTTTAAGGATATTTTAGTGTAACTTATGTTTCTAAATATTCATTATACCACAGGTTTTGTCTTTTGCCAGGTTACTTGAAAGAACTAAATCCAATTATTCAGTTTTGTGCTAATAGCTCCGTTCCAAAGCTCGATTAGGATTTGGGATAACTATTTGAATTGATTTTAGTTCCCATTAGACCAAGGAAAATTTAAAATCTCCTATTCTTGGTTTCGTGAATCAGACGTTCGGAATGGCAAAATTGCAAAATCTAAGTCAGACTGTTGCTACTGTCCTACAAAAGTTTAACAGAGTAAAACGAGAATTTTACACGAAAAATTAGTCCACGAGATCTTAAATCAAAAAGACACAATTGGCGGTGGTTGGAATTAAAGAGCAATATTCGAACTACCGAAATTGTGCCCCAGTGGAATAGAAATGAATCGTAAGTGAATTAATCCAATCCTCTGAGCTCTCCTTCTGGCACCGGCTAATCCTCTTGCGTAGCGTGTGGCCAAAGTATTAAAATGACTCACATCATTTTCACGAGGGCTTTTCTTTTCTTAATTGTCTTTTTATCGGCGTTGACATTCTTCCAAACGGCCCTCCAAGGGGCCTTGAACGGCCAGGCAAGGCAGACTGCAATAGTGTGATAGAGTTTTCCGATCGGCACGAATGCAGCCCAACAACCACCCTTTAATTTGCCCAGACGGACAATTCGCCGTCCTATCTTTATGAGAATCACAAGCCAAAAAATTGCTGATAGCCAAATAAGGCGGACATCATCCTCTGCAGCGAGGTTGTTGCGGTAGGTTGCATAGGCCACATAAGCGATGTCCACCAACATTAGAAGGGTCAAGCCCATGAGGCCGAATACCCCGTCGCAACACACTGGCTCTACATCTTCATCAACTGGCTGTTTCCTGAATGAAGCCCCTTGAACGTTGGCAATAAACTGAAATAACTTGTTGACTCCTCTAATTTTTTGGTTGGGTTTATCTAGGAAATCAGCTTCACTCCAAGAAGTAAATGGTTTATCCGTGTCTGAGAAGTCGTACACCACCATACTTTCGTCTGAGTCTGACTCAATGTCACCACTCTTTTTCACGGTATCGATAGACTAAAAGTTAAAAAGGAATGTTACTTGTACGAGCGAATTTAAGAATGTCTTCGTGAGTTATTAGAATGAAATAGACCTGATTTAGAGATAAATTGGGCAATTGATAAACCTTCTATACATGGGGCTTTGCAGTTGGTGCGAAGTGCATCGGCTCAAAGCAAAACTCGTGGCACTTGCTTGGATTCAATTTGAATCCATCTCACTTTCTAATTATCCGTAGCACGCAGTGTGAATACGGTTTACCATAAAAGCTGCTGGACATTCAAGTGACAAGCCTTTTATTAATTCAAATTTCAGTCTGTTCAAATCATTTTGTTTTTCTTCATGTACTCTAAGTATAGATGGACAAGGAAGAATAAGAGATATATTATTACAATACTTTCTTAGACCATTGTGAATGGAAATTTATTTACTAATTAAAATTAGAAAAAGACAAAGTTAACTGTCTGTTTTCATGATGGATCTGGGCATCATTCCTAACTAAATGGTTCATTGGACATGAGAAGATACCATTACTGTGTCTAAAATGTTGGATATGGCAGATTTTCTGAGGGTGGCCTAAGTGGGAAGAAATAGTGACCACCAAAGGACACATTTATTTTATAAAACTCATTAAACTAAACTCTTCTACCAACAAATAATATAACTTACCGCTTCACCAAAACTATTGTCTAGTGGAACCAGAGTGTGCTCATGTTGTCCTTCTAGGTTCTTCACACTTTGCATGATGAGAAGAAGGAAAGGAGTCAGCGCACTATCCCAGGGTCCGTGTGTTTATTTATATAAGGCCTGAGGCGTTTGCATGCCGGGCGCAAATGATCCTAGAATTTGAACTGGGTCAAAGGGTCATGTCTAGCATTTTGAACTGACTGCTTGCATTTTTGAGAAACTACTGAATGTCTTCACAACTATAACAAAGCAAGACATGATTGCACTGGTAACATTAAAAGAGAGACAAACCAGGGGCGGTTGTAATGAGCGTCGTGTTTGTACAATAGACTCAGCCCAGGAAAGAATATAGGGCTGAGATTTGAAAGCACCAAATTAGCAGAGAAACCGAATCATAAAAGCAAATTGGGAACCAAATTACTTATCCGTAAGGGGCTTTTTTCAAGAAAACACAGTTAGCTAATCGTTGACAAAATCGAAATATTAATGTACATTATTTCGTTGGAAATACTTCGTATTTGTGTTGAGGTATTGCACTTTAGGCAGTTTAATTTGCCTTGGTTTAAAGAAAATAGTTTCACTCTGACTAATGCCGTGGCTCCATCTATGGGGTATCCCCAGCCAAGCGGACAGCGGTGCGGTGGCAGATGATTCACCACGTGTGTCGTCGCACCGTCCTCGCGTTGGCACGACGCCATGGCATGTCCTTTCCTTTGCCTGTTTTCTCAAGCCCCCGTTGAACATTTGCAACTTGCGCAATGCAGCTTATTTAAATAAAGTACGAACAAGTTCCAAATTATGACAGAGGGTTTAATCTAGGGTTCATGTTTGCCTAAGATGCGAGTCACAGTAATGGTTCTGATGCGAAAAGCCACAATCTGTGACTGGCACAACGGTTAAATCATTCTAAATCAGCACAAATCAGCCATGATTGCTTTAACAGAAAACCGCACACCCTCGTGCCTGCTAAGTCATCAAACGCCCGATGCCGAATCACGTGATGAAGTGGCTCACAAAACCTTGTGGCCTGAGGCCATCCCTTGAAATTTTTCGCTCTATTGCCATTCCTTGCACAAAGTGATGCTGTCAATCGCCTTCTGTTGGGTGAACAAGCACTATTTTTGCATGCCTTGTGAGACAGAAGAGCATTATTCTGGCGGTTCCTCCCTGACTCCTTTTCTAACTTATTTAAACCCTCTTTCAGACAAAATCGAATTTCTGTGAAAACCTCTCACTAAATGACCGTTCAAGCAGAACCTCATTTTGAATAAACCTGAGAGTAAAGTTCTCGAGAAGCAGATTTACAGCACTGTATCAAGGTACTTAACGAAAACTTAAGACTGAGACCACGTTTTGGCACATTATACTTGGTAGAGGGGCCAAGTAATTATAATACCAATCAATTATTGGTTAAAGAAGTTGTTGTTCTCATGGTTGAAAACTCACAATTAAACAGCTCCATCAAAACATATTTACAAATTTTTTATCATATTAGTAACCTCCTGTATTTTTTTCTAATTATATCCATTTTAGCGACTTTTTATCTCTACTTCTGCCGCGAGTGAGTTTGGTCCAGGTTATTATGGTACGATTTACAGGGCTCTGTTAGGCCGCCCAAACTCAAACGAAAACTGCACTGGCCGAGTAACTCAAGCATATCAAACGGATCGACCGCATTGCTAGTGATAACGTAATGCCTACCTCACACCGGTTGAAATCTTTATAACTAAGCTCGCGGCCAAGTCATCTGTCTACTTGTATTCCATTGATTATTTTCACAATAGACCCAAATCCCACTCATTATTAGTACTCAGACGTAATCACTCTTTTGATTCTGGTTGTATGGCCTTTAAGCTTATCAGAGGATGACCGCTTTACCTTGGGGTTAGCGCAGCTCTTGGTGTTTGATGGCATCACATATGCAGCAATCGATAGAAAGAGTACATATATGCTGAACGTAATTGACAGTGGAATTTACCGAAGACGACACCCTAAAACAAGGAGGTAAGAGTCATCGAGTGACTTTTTAGAACTTAATGTTTGACGCTCCAGACAAACGCGTGATCAATGATGTCTAGCTTTTACAAAGTACATGAATGGTGTTATTCCTGTTGACTTTTGGTGAATGCTGTACCTGGCTAAGAACAAACTAACCAGTCATGAGTGTGGGTGGGGATCTCTAAGCGAATTGCATAAGGCGGTTTTACTTTTCACATTCGCGGTTAAATATTCCATGCTGTTTTTTGTGTTAATCAACAGTGGTTTAACGTCTATTTACGAGGCCAAGAGTCGCAGTGGACCTTTTTGTGACTAGGCGGAACTTGGGAACATCGTTATCTATCGTCAAAGCACCAAACTACTATTAAAACCTCTGACTCAAAATTTCACAACATTTTCCTCCCAATATCTTACTTATACTTGTCGATAACCGCACAAATCTATTTGGGATTCATAGTCAATATCGAATGTGAATGGTCGAACTACTAGTAGATTCAAACGCCTATGAAGGGGCCACATTAACCACCTGAGTTGTTAAATTTCACGTCATTATCGCCTGGATGAGGGCTGACTTTACTGAATAAGCAATTTATGTTATTGCTGGAATTCCCAACCGCATAACCTTTTACTAATCTAATTTTACTCTAATGTCACGAAAAATTCAGGCACTCTTTAAAACAAAACAAAATCCCTAACAAATCAGACCGCAATTGTTGCAAATCTAACCAACACCAATTGCTTCTTCTAAAGTCCTCATAAAATCTGAGGCAATGGTTAGCTTCACTCGTCAGTGGTGACGATTTTAAAAACAAATGGTACCAGATAAAATACTTAACAGCAATATCTTGTCTTTTTGATTAAGGGGTCAAAAAAGACAAGATATGAACAATGCGTTTTCTTGAACTTCATAGTGCGTGAATTCGGGCTGTCGTGTAACATGGAGGCTACGTTATCGTTCAGGTACTATGCTCTCATTCACTGCAGAAATGCTAAACGAACATTGTCATCAAGCATGAGGATTCAGTCAATTTACTTAAATGCATTTTATGCAGTCATGTTCGTTCAGAGATCGATATTAACCAGTTCTATATAAACAGATGCCTTATTACTTTGCATAACCACGATATTA